CTCACCGTTTTAATACAATTGTGCGTTTCATGCACAAGTCAGTCGTCAGGCACGTATTGAAAATTGACCGTTGTAAAATTCTGTATTTTATTACGACCAGCACTCAATTTTGGTGCCTTATATACATATATATATATATATATATATATATATATATATATATATATATATATATATATATGTGTGTGTGTGTGTGTGTGTGTGTAATATCAAGGAGGATATGAATCCAAAGAGAGATTAATGTAAGAACAGAACAAATATTATAATGAAAGCGGAGTCCTTAGAAATCCATTTAGGTGATAATTTATTTCATGTGATCCACCATATTTTGTCTCGATAAATTTATTTTTTGTATAATTTTGGTCTCAAGAGATGGGTGCCTGATCCCATGAAATAAATTATCACCTAAATGGATTTCTAAGGAATCAGCTTTCATATATATATATATATATATATATATATATATGTCTGTGTATGTATGTATGTATGTATGCATGTATGTATAAAGAGGTAGAGCGTATGTAAATACAAACAGCGAGGTCATTTGTATCAACAGTGAATAGAAGCACAAAGTTTTCATGTTTAAACACAATTCAAGCATGAGGCACACTGTTTGCTTAGTTTCGTTTTGTTTATTTAACGACATAACATCTCCTGATGGGTCATATAATGCTGAAACTTAATATTCTTGGGAGCTTTAAGTAAAAAAATATGGTGTATGTTATTTTGCTTTCACAGTTGAATATATGGTAGATGATACTCAGCTTTTTCAAATATACATGTTTGTGTGGTCATGATTCGCAACAAACTGTCGCCACTCAGTCTTTATACTTATGTACATATATATGAATTGAAAAATATACGACAGAATGAGTAACTAAAGAAACAAACTGCAAAAACTTTATAAATTTTACATGCATTCTAATTTTATTGTAGGTTCATCAGATTTCCAATAAAGCTTCAAAAAGTAGCGAAACAAGTCAAATTTATAAAAAATATTCCTATTTGTCCTTATTTAATTATATATATATATATATATATATATATATATATATATATATATATATACATATATATATATATATTCATATATATATATCTGGCATATTTTAGCAGTTATGACTTTCGAAGAAATTTGAAGGAGTTCACTGCACTTTATCGGCAAATAAAACCTTGTTAGATCATGAAGCTCTTCGTAGCTGAATGGTCAAGACACGTCAGATTGAATAGTGTTTCTCGTGTAAACTGGCATTCTTGTTCAAATCCTGCTGCAGGGCGCATTTCCTATGGCTTACGTGGCGCATGAAACTCCATGCCGCGATACACACACACACACACATATATATATATATATATATATGTGTGTGTGTGTGTGTCTGTCTGTGTGTATGTATGCGCATGCGTATGTGTGTGATAACGATACTTATTTTTATATATCAAAAACAGTATTGGGGAAATTGTATGACAATTTGGAAAAATTTTACTTGTGACGCGTTTCGTTCTTCAGGACTTTTTCATGACAGAGGGGTACTGGGGATTTTAGAATTTTTTTTTTTTTTTTTTATCTAGCCGAATTCATTTAGAGTCTTTTTCTTTCCGTCACTTTTGTAAGAAGGCATTCCATACTGTGATAAAAGAAAATCTGCCAGGAATGGTGAGATGTTCTAAGAGCCAAGGCGCAAAGTTACTGTAGTTGAATTTGCAATTAAGGCACTCTCTAGACATTTACGTCGTAGTGAATTATTTTTCTCCCTTGATCACAGTAGAAATTTTTGTATGTCAATGTTGCGGTCTGTCTCGTTACGGTGTGCAACCAACGAATTTGACGCATTATTTTGTAAAATATCTCTTTTGCGTTCATATAGTATTTTATTTCAATTCTTTGAGGTTTCTCCTATGTATTTTTCTGACAATTATTGCAGACGGCGGAATAATCTCTTCGTTCAGGTTTTAGCTTTTTTTTTTTTTTTTAGTATTGATTAAATATTTTATTGCTTGGGATGTAATAGTAATATATTTTATGTTGTTTTAGATATAATCTTTTCGATTGTAGATGTGATAGAATTAGTCAGCAGGATAATATATAGTTTTTTTGATTCAATGGGTTTCTCAGGAAGGAGCATTTTTTGTTTTGGAATATATTATGGGCCTTTTGTTTTCTGTTGAATATAAAATATTTAGAGTACTGAAGAAGTTTGAAAGTGTTTTCTATGTATTTTTCCTCTTCGTGTTAATAATACGACCTACATATTCCTCGTGCTCTTAGGTACGATGAATATGTCGTATTTTATTTTGTTGATAGGATGTGAACAAAAATTTATTAGGTCCTTTTTGTTGGTTGATTTCTGGTGGACAACGAGTTTTAAACTGTTATTAATGTTAAAATTATAAGATTTCCAGCACCCTTCGTTCTTGTGTATGGGTAGTTCTACCAACACAATAGATTTAATCAGATGAAGTCCTGAAGGAGGAAATGCGCCAATTTTCAAGTCTGATTTATTCCCCAAACTAATTTCACCATCGCATTTTCAAGATGGTAGTGGCAGGCTGCATAGAGTCCACGGGACATATTTGAACAAACGTGGCTACTAAGTTATAAATATACACAATTGTGAATCGTTTACATGCATTAGGATTACCCTTGTGTCTCTTGGCAGGATTTCAATTACCTTACAAAATTTTCCAGTATTTTTGCGGGATAGTGGCCTGGGGATCGAATCGCATTCGAGATTGCTAAAAACCAGAGCTGTTTCTATCTCCATGCAAATGATGGCTGTTAGCCGATTCAACGAAACGATGGGGAATGGCATCTTCCAGAATGTATATATGTATTTATATATGTACTAGCAGCATGGCCCGGCGTTGCCCGTGCTTGATTCAAAAATCGTACGACTCATACAGCAATCACTATCACTTGACTTAAAATATTTTTGTCCTTCCTTGCCTTTAAAGGAGTGCCCTTTGCCGTGCTGATGTTGCTACATGCCTTACCGCTTGCCTATCTCACACCGCGAATTTTTTTCTAAGCTCTATACTAAACATTAAATCTGTTACGAAAAAAGAACTAAAGAAAATGAACACAAAACGATCAGCTTTAAAAAAGGACTCGTAACTGGAAAAACGAATGAAAAAAAGAATGTTAACAACAAATACTTTTTCACACCCAACCCAGTTCTGCGGAATCAGAATCAACGTTTAGTTTAAGCAAGCGAATGAGCCAATTGGAGTAAAGTGCTATGCAGATTTAAATTTTTCCCACTTGCGACGAATGCAGCTATCGATTTTTTTGCATGCTAGCATGCTAGTTAACATTCGTGTCAGTCAGCTGTTGGCTCTCACTCTGGCCAGTAGAAAATGGCCGCAAACTACCTTAGAAGTATGAAAAATCGATTATTTCCACTATCGACGGGAGTTGAGAAATCACAGTCGGTCTTGGCCTTTGCGATAACTTGGAGCATGTGCATGTAAATTTTGGTGCAAATCCGTCGAAAAATTGCAGCCGTTCGTTACACACACACACACACACACACACACATGCACGCACACACACACGCACACACACACACACACACGCACACACACCCACATCCTGCCTTTTATTGACAGAGATTTATGTATTATTGCTTATTGTAATTTATTTATAGTAACTTATTTATATAGTATTCTATTTATAGTAATTTATAATAATTTATTGTAATTTAAAATAATTTATAGTAATTTATAATAATTTAATTATAATAATTTATGTATTTTATAATATTTATGTATTATTTTATAAACTTAATTTTAAGAAATTTTATGTTTATATTCTTTTTATAGATACAAATATTTAAGTAAATGCTCTGTTTTATAATAAACAGTATTAAACAACATTTACCGACCTGAATGTTATTTAATACTGTTTATTATAAACAGAGCATTTACTTAAATATTTGTATCTATAAAAAGAATCTATAAACATAAAATGTCTTAAAATAATTGTCAGACTTTGTCCATTTCAAAATGTATAAACTTAATGTTTATCGCTGATTATTTATTGTTTATTTAAATATTTATGTACATATTTATTTCTAGTGACCTTGGGGTAGAATAGCTGAGGAGATTATTAAAGCTAAGACCAGATTCTCCCTCCATGGACATGATAGCCATTACTGTGCCTAATATAGACTTGGAGAGTGTAATCATCCAGGACGTATTTCCTCAAGACACTCAAGTACATTCATCAGTCAGGTACCGCTAACGCTTGCTTTTGACGTTTGCCAGGACAATTTGGAATAGCGCTGTGTATGCCCAGAACCATGTTGAATTCGTTTTTTTCACAATTCTTGCTAGAGGAACACAATATGCTATTATGGTGATTTTTCAAGCATTGCTTACATGTGACACAATGCCGAAAGTAGGGGTCACCCAGTGAGGATCGAACTCACTACTCAGTCGTAATTGTTCTATCGAGACAAGGTTTCTAACCATTACACTGCCTCAAGATGCCCGTCAATATGCTGTTATAGTAAGATAATGCCTTCTCGCACGATACCGTCATACTGAACATATTCAGTCACTTCCATGATCGCGAAATCGACGTCTATCCCTGACGAAATATGTAAGTGACATGATGGAACTGCAACTGACTCTTTCAGTTAGCCCACCTACAATTCTTGCTGTATTGCTTTAACAGTTACAAAAGAAGGTGGAATAATATAACTTAGGGTAATATTCACCATCTGGACGACTGAAAGTACATTCGACTGATTGATTTGTTCATATCATTCACCATTTGCAAGTTATTTAAAGCATGAAAATATTTTTAGATTCTAAGAATTTTCATGGGTGGGGGAGATATAAATGATTTACTGATACAAGTCCTACTCATTAACCCATGCTGGGGGGATATGAGTTGCATTCATCTCTTTGTTTGTAATCGAATATAGCGAACCTGACTCGGCTCTCCGACTTCCAATTCCAAACATTCTCCATTACGCCACTCGCACATCCAAGTTAAGAGCACCTTCTATTCCTAAGCGGTCGCCCATCTATGTACTAACCAGGCTCGACTTTGCTTAACTTCAGTGATCGTACAAGAATCGGCGTTGCAACGTGATGTGGGCGTAAACCTGAAAGTACAGGCCTGCAACAAGGATATACAGTTTAGTAATATGGCGGGGGTAAGTATTGTTGACAGGTAATTTATGAACTAGTTTATTTGTTTGTTTAGCGGCATATCAACATTCTTATGGGTCATTTAATACCGAAATTTAATTTTCTTGGGAGCATTAGTAATGTCTTTTATTGCTTTTTTCTTTTCTTTTTCTTTTTTTTTTTAAATGTAATACTGGTAACATTTTTTTCAAAAAATACTGCTAGTAAATTTTTTCTCCAAAATTATTGCTGGTGAGTTTATTTTTTTTAAAAATATATTGTTGGTAATATATATATATATATATATATATATATATATATATATATATATATATATATAATTTAATGAAAAACAGACCACTTTAAAAAGGTTTACAATAATTTATTTCACCAAAATCCTTTTTAAAAGTTTCGGATCATCAGGTAACACTTCCAACAATGAAATGAGAGGAATAATCTGAATGGAATGGAATCACATTTTTCCTCTCATTTCATTGTTGGAAGTGTTACCTGATGATCCGAAATCCTTTAAAAGGATTTTGGTGAAATAAATTATTGTAATTGTACCTAAAGTGGTCTGTTTTTCATTAAATACTAGCTCTGTTCTTCACATTGAGCTCTCAGGATTTCATCCTCCTTCGATTTACCAATTCGGTTTACCAAGTTCTTCATAACTTATATATATATATATATATATATATATATATATATATATATATATATATATAAATGTATGCTTGGTAATATTTTATTTTCAAAAATCTGTTGCTGGTAATTTAAAAAAAAAAATGCATTGCTGGAAATATTTTTAAAAATGTACTGCTGGTATTTTTTACTATAAAAATCCATTTTTATACATTCATAGTGTTTTGACACCAGTTTGGCCGGTGTGACTATTTTCCCATAGCTGGGATCCTATCAGGTGCTACCACTTCGGCTCAGGGTGGAACAGGGAACAACAGTAATTAAGAGGTTGTTCCATGCTACGCAAAACCTCCAATCTCCCGATCTTTTTTCTGCCGGATGTAGATTATCGTCCTACCCAAGTTAATATGAACAAGTGCATATATTGAGCTGTTATAGGTGATCGCATCGTGTAATCAATCTATATAATATGCACGTTTAATCCTGAGTAAATTGAACGTTTTCTTACTTTCATCTGTTAGTGTATCAACATAGGTAGCTTAATTTGTGAGAAGGTCACAATTTAGAGCTGTCAGTGTCTGTCGAGCAAACTATGGACATACGGTGATATCATGTTATTTGGTATTTTTAAGGTGATTATTTATTAGCTTCACTGGATTCGGGTACAAGGTCATTAACGTTTAATTTTAGGAATCGAAATCATTTCTAATTGTTTTCGATACTACCAAAGACCCACAGAAAATACAGTCTATCTATCTATCTATCTATCTATCTATCTATCTATCTATCTATCTATCTATCTATCTACACTGTTTAATCCGTATGTACACACACACACACACACATATATATAATAGCACAAAATAATTATAAATATAAAACTATAACTCTAATAATAATATGAAAATTTTAAAGATTTACTAGAAGTTAAGCTATTTTAATTCGAGCAGAATTTTTGCCTGGTAAAAATCTGAAGCCTATATAGTCAATAAATCAATAAAAGTTCAATTGAATTCTTTCGAACAACTTCAAAGTCGACATCAGCAGTGTTTCGCGACTCTGAAGTAGATTGAGAGATAAGTTAACTGAACTTTAATCTCTCTCTCTCTCTCTCTCTCTCTCTATCTATCTATCTATCTATCTATCTATCTATCTATATATATATATATATATATATATATATATATATATATGTTAGTGCTTCCCTCTATATTTAACATAAAATTATTTGAAAGTATTTTCATTTTACCTACTTGTTCATTGCTTTAAGGAGTTGGTTTTTGGCTTGGCGTAACTTAACGAATACCTGCAAAAAACAGAATTAGCGAACTGAGTTCAAATTTTGGTTGTGGTGCCTGATATTTCCTTCGTAGTAATGCTATTTCAAAAAGCATGAACTCACTTCTCCCTGCGATATATCATGGTCAGATATCTTAACAAAATGCCACTACACAGTCAGTTATGTGCCATGCGTGATACACGCGTAGGCGATCATCTATCTTTCGATACATGACTGACGAGGCAGATTTTTCCCCACAGTAGGTTGCCATTTGTTTCTGTGGTAGACCAGTTGCCATCCAAGGCAACAGAACTCAGTTTGTTCTGCTATTTATCAATAGCTGGTGGGTGGGGGGAGAAGAAGAGGATTTATACCTTCCACAAGGTATTAGCACGTAAGTGAATGAAATTGATTCGACTGGAATTTGAACTCATCTCTTCGATTCCTCAATCCGAGCCGCCATCATCTACGGTAAATGTACATTAGCGAAACACAATCTCTTTCTGATTAATAACTTCAGCTCTTAAAGCTTATACTCCGCTTTACAACCTTGACCGATTTTCTAATCCATTAATGTACAGCGTAAAATCATATGCTAATTATAGAAATAGGAAAAATATTGTAGGTTTCTAAAACAATTCGGTATTAAATTCAGGTTTTCAAATATTCAGTTTTAATTATAGGCTTCGGCCTATAACTCATTAAGGGCTCATCATCCCATAATTACACCCCATAATAAAATGACAGAGAGGATTACACTTTGTTAACCATATTTTCCAGGAAGCCTTCTGCCAGACGTATACATAAGCTTTCTCACATCAATGGTTAAAAATGGCTTCTAACGAATAAGGTCGTATGTCTCAGCTAGAACCGCCCCCACTTCGAACATCGTCGACTGGCGCTACAGAATCAGAAAAAAAAATCTGTACCAAATAACAGAAACTATATAATTTGAAGACATCCAACGACAGTAAAAACTAAATTATGTAGCATATATAACTCAAAGAGAAAATAATGATCTAATCAATATGTAGAGATTCCACACTAATTAGCGAGGCTGATTAATTTGTTTTTACGATTTATCAACACTTTGCGAATTATATAAAGCCAGAAACTATTTTAGATTGTAAGAATTTTTATGGAGATAATAATGATTTAGTGATACAGGTCTTAATAATTAACCCATAGTTGGGAGAGAAGAGTTGAATTTCCCAAGGTTATTTGCACGTAAGTGAATATCTCTCAGACCTCCAATTAAAAATTCCGAACCATTACCAATTACACCACCTGAACATCCAAGCTTACAACACTTGTACCCTAGGGCCTTCTTCAGGTGTTTGGAATGTCGAACTGAACTTTTTATTTCGCTCGCTGGGGTAAACTGTTCTAGTTCCACGTGCCATGTCTAATGGATGTCAGTTATCTCCTGCTAATTCCCCTCTCCAAGTTCTCTACCGCCTTAACAAGGTATTGAACTCACATTCTTTGGGTCCTGTCACTGGATCTAACTAATGCCTTTATCCACTGTGGAGGACACATCGCACAGTGGATTATTTTTAGATCATGTTTACTTATTGTGGAAGCAATTAAACGGAAGCTGGTGGAAAGGGTGAGAAAAGAAACTGTTGGTATAGAAGTAGCGGTTGCATTTAACTATCTAAAAACTAAAAGGATGGGACCTATATGCCAATCTAGTAGCCGGGGCATCAGGGTGAAAAAAAAAGTTCCTCAAAGCTGGTGCTATGAAAATATTTGTAGAATAGACAGAGGGAAGCCACATCAGGTCGGAGAGAAAATGACTGAAGTCGCGATGACATGTCAGGATCGATTACATTACAGATTCTACTTTGGATTTTGTGAAGAATCTTGCGATATACAACAGTTTATACTGAGAAAGGCAAAGCGACTGCCATTTTTGACATAAGTTACTACTAAATAACAGTTACAGAATGGCGTCTTGGTCATCCCAAAACTCCTCCACAGTAAATATGATCTTACCATTGTTCCTAAAATGGCGACCACTCAGGTAGGATTTGAGTTTAGGAAACATGGAGAGTTGAGATGGAGATAGGTTTGGTGCGTAAGGTCAATGTGGTAAGAATTCAAAGCCACAGTTTGCTGTTTCATCTACTGCAACTTGAGCAGTATAAATGGGCGGGTTATCCTGCAGCAAGAGCACAACTGCCCCAGCTTCCTTCTATGTTTCAACTTGATTGCTTCCTTCAGTTGTCTTAGTTCTGATGCATAGTGTGAACCATTAATGGTTTTAGTGTCCTTTTTCAGGAACGTCTATCATGATTACGCCTTCAGAATTCCAAAAAATAGAAACTACCACTTTGCCAAGAGACTGCTTGAACTTCGTGTTTGGGGAACAAATGTGTGCCCAAAGTGTGTATTAGAATCTTTGATTCAGGTTCGAAGTGGTCAACCCAGGTTTCATCTTGAGGTACTAAACTGTGATGTAAATTCTTAGGGTCAACCTGGAAGCGACTCAGAAGTGTCCTAGAAGTGTTTTTCAATATAGTCTCACTTGACATTACTTTCTGTTTTCCAACCATAAAATTTAGGAACTTTCGCATACATTAATATATGAGAGTCATTCAATAGGTTCTAAGCCTCACCAGAAGCTATTGGAGAAGCAAGAGTGTTTCAATCCCATTACAGTTAATTAGCAACTATACATATTATTAGGAAGCAACTTACAACTATTAAAAATTATTGACTTATTTCAATAAATGTAAATATACAAAGAAAGGACAAGACTAATCTCGTCTATCAATGTCCTTGGATCTTGAAATAAACGGTGTTTCTTATATTTCTCTCTTCTCTTTTTGATCATTTCACTCCAGGCAAGGTGTTAATGCCACTAAAATGCAAGTGGGAGGGAAAGAGAATGAGAAGACTTTAGTGAGAAGAAAGGACAATAAAAGAGTATGATTTCGGAATACAGAAGATTGAGATTGCATTTCAATATTTGAATATTTCAGAACCAGACAAGCAAGAAACCATAAAAAAAACTTCTAGAGGTGAAAATTGCAGAAAAAGAAA